ATTAAAAACCTCCGCCAAGCCTAGCGCTGTGCCCTGAGAGGGCCTCCTCCAAGGAACTTATGAGACCTATGGGGAAAGGAGGAAAAGGACTAACCTCAGGGTCCTGAGATCTAAAGAAGGTTTTGGATTGTTAGGGATTTTGTGGAGGCTGTTTCTGACCCAGGACTGCAGAAGCCTTTTACTCTCATCATATCACATTGAAAGTTTTATAGAGCAGGTCAGGCTGACAGGGATGCTTGTGTCCATCTGCAGCAGAACACCTTCTTGAGCTGTGGGTTTATGCACTGGAGCCACCCTAATATTTTCAATTTCATATGTCATTGCTCAGTGCTGATCCACTGGAAAACAGCTGCTCAGATGTCCCCTGGGCAATAAATTTACACATAAAGAAACCTGAGGACCCATGTTCTTATATTAGTGATGGATGAAAATGTTTGGTATATGATAAGGACTGTTCCCAGGAATGATTAATTCTCCTTTTCTACCCTGTGAATGGGCAGTGTGTGAGAGAGCAGATTTTGCTGCCATGTTGTTTGTACTTCTAAGGTTCCAGCAGCCACCCTTTTGCCTCATCTGAACTTCCCCACTCCAGGAACTCCTTGGTTGTTTTGCCTTAGACAGTGAAATAAGCTGTACACATTGGGGAATTGTGATATCAGAGAAGAGCAGCAGAAAATTTCCTAAACACAAGAATTCAAATAGACCTTATTCCTATTCAATGAAGCATCTTCTGAAAAGCAGTTGTAAAACCAATACAGTGTCTTCCAGTGCCAACCAATACATTGTTACATGCTGCTTTTAAATAGTTGATATTTGTTATTTAAGGAGTAAGAAGGAAGGCAATTAATTTATTAACAACTTTTAAACATTTAACACATATAATATATCATTATACTCATATTGAAATGTGATATGCAAATGATACTAACAGATACTTAGGACACATACATGGGACTTTTAATCCACTCTACAGGTCACTTGGATTTAAAATTATAACTTGGATTAGATAATTATATTTCAATATCTGTTTTTGGAGAAGAGCAATTTTCTTTTTGGCAATGACAAGCAAGCTGCCTTTTTTAAAGAAACTTGCTTTGTTCTAACATGGGGAATTGGAAGTTGAATCTTAACAAATTCTGTTTCACAGAAACTGTCCCCTCTTTGTGTACACATCTTAATTCATATCCTAATGTTTTTCTTGCACTTCTATGTATAGTTAGAAAACAACAGAGAAAACTGATTTCTCACAGCTCCCTGAATTAGTATCAGATAACAACTTTTAGCTCTTTTCAATTCTTGAGAATAAGCTAGTTTTCATTTTAAATTTAGGGATTATTGTGCTTATGATGCTCTTTAGTTTGACTTCTGTAAGATCAGAATATTAATTTGTGCAGTAAGTGTCACAAACCTTCTGTCATAAGTATCTTCTGACTATCATAAATTTACAAGGTCAATTTCTTTCATTTAATGGATCTGACTTAATTTGAGTGTGAAATGTTTTGGCCTAGCTGTAACCCACTATTATAGCTAAGAATAAAAAAATCACTATACTGCTTGGTACTTTTTAATAGAATCTTTCACACTGTGAAGAGCACAACAATCTTTAATTCTCTCATCCTTCTGACCTATTCTGAACAACCTCACTCCATATTTGCTCCTTTAGTCCTGTATTTCTTATGTGCAATTTTATCATTTACCAAGGATTTACATATCCGTACTTAAACTTCTCAGAAAGAAAAATGAAGGTCAGGCCTCACAAAGAAGAAAGGTTTAGATCAGCTATTCAGAGTAAATTCTTCACTGTGAGGATGATAAGGCACTGGAACAACTTGCCCAGAGAGGCGAACAACCTCACTCCATATTTGCTCCTTTAGTCCTGTATTTCTTATGTGCAATTTTATCATTTACCAAGGATTTACATATCCGTACTTAAACTTCTCAGAAAGAAAAATGAAGGTCAGGCCTCACAAAGAAGAAAGGTTTAGATCAGCTATTCAGAGTAAATTCTTCACTGTGAGGATGATGAGGCACTGGAACAACTTGCCCAGAGAGGTTGTGGATATCCCATCTCTGGAAGAATTCAAGGCCAGGTTGGACAGGCCTCTGAGCAACCTGATCTAGCAGAAGGCCCAGAGAGGCTGTGGATATCCCATCTCTGGAAGAATTCAAGGCCAGACTGGACAGGCCTCTGAGTAACCTGATCTAGCAGAACGTATCCCTGCACATGGCAGGGGTGCAATTAGATACTTTTTAAGATCTCTCCCAACCCAAACCATTCTATAGCTCAACTATTATCAAGGATTATCTTCAAAGTGGACATAACTCTGAAGTGGACCTGCATTTTTCAATTCTAATGCTTTTTTGAAAATCAGTAGGTGTTGCAATGGCAAAAAGTATTTTCCATTGTGCCATCTTGCTTGCCACACAACATTCCATTTGGTCTGTAAACCAACGCTTAATTTTTCAATTCTTACTGTCTGAAAAAACTGTTATTATTTTTGCCAATTAGTTTAGTAGCAAGAGGCATTTAAATAATATTCAGTGAAAATATTTGTGATCGAGAATCAATATCACAAACAGAATCCAGAACACAGTAGTTGGAAAGACTACCTCATTTCCCTCCTCTTCATCTTCATTTTTCAATTATGAATTGTGGCAACTTGTTAACACTTTGTGTAATGGCATTTTATCTTTACTTTCAGAGTTTAAAAGGACTGGAAATTATTTTTTGTTCTGTTTGTTCTTTGACTTTAAATATAAAAGATGCTATATTTCATTTATAGAACCTCACAAAAGGAATGTAGATAGTTATACCAAATGATTATGTAAGTACCATTAGAAAGAGTAAATCTTGTTATGAAAGGATTCAGTGAGTTTTGAAATCATGGGAGATAACAGCTTTTTAAGTCCTTACCAGCTAAAGTTATTGAAATGTCGGATTAGTATTATGAAATACTATTTTTCTTTTACTTAAAAGAACAGTTTTAAGATTTTCTTGTCTGACAACAATGAGATATTCATATAGAAACAATATGGTGAAACAAATCATGTGATGCATGTTAAAATCTGTGAAAAGAAAATTATCTTAAAAGATGTGGAAGAGAATTTTATAGCAATGTCCTTCACAATGTAAATACTCAAAACTATGCAGAAGGTAAATGATCCTTCATTTTGGGAAATTTTTAGAGGCATTATTTTTCCACTTGCTGTGACTATATGCTGAACCTATTACTCTGTGTTTGCACTAAATGAGACTTGGAGGAATCTGAGTTTTATGCCCCATGAAGCTTCCTTTAGAGCTGTTGTCACATCACTTCATCTTTTTATGAACCAGTTTTCTGCCTCCACAGAGCCATGAAAGAGCTCACACAGACAAAAGAAGATGTCTCTTAGGACTCGAGTTATTTTCAAGACTCAAAGCTCTTCAGTAAATATAATGTGCTTTAGCGACACCTCTGCTAAGCCATTTTTCCACTTACATACTATAGAATGGGGAGGAAGATTCTTATGGAGAAAAAAAAACATTTAGTACAACTAACAGGAACTCAGATGGAAAATATCTTCCTAAGGAATCTTTACAGAAATGTGGACTTGCTTTGTGAATCTGTAGTGACATGTTTGCAGTATGTTTATGTTTTAATTAGTTGCTTTCTGTAATTTGTGACAAGCAATTGTTGATCAAGTTCATGCATTCATCTGAGCCTTACAACACACCTTTGAGAGCTCAATGTCAATGATCACTTTACAGATTTCAAATTTTCATAGTAGGGATAGAGACAGGAGAATCATATCCTGCCTTCAGAAATCCATCTCTACATTAGCATTGAATGTACATTTTGGTTAATTAATAAAAATAAATCTATACTTTCAAAGTAAAAGGAAGAACTGAAGTTTCACATGTAATCTGTTATTTTCTGAAAAAGGAGGGGGCATCAATTTTATTGTCCAAATTTCATTCTTTAAACTGAAATTTAGCTATTTCAGAGGTATAATAGCATGATTTGAACGCTAATTTGGTTCTTCAGCTCTTTTCCTGACTATAAAATGGGAGTATCAATGTGTAGTGATATGACATGGAATAGGAGAAAGATGAAGTAGAGAAAAATAAATATTAATACTAGAAATATTTTATTTTTTTACCATTACATAAAATACCTGTCAGCAAGTAAAATGAATACTTTTAATCAGAATCATGACAAAATTTGATTAATTATTCTGTTCTTGCTGTCAAATTGTGAGAATAATATTTCTGTGGTATAAGTGATGTCTGTATAGGTATCTCACATAATCTGTTTACTTAAATGTTCTTGAATAAAGAGAAATAGAATCAAAGTTATTAAAGTTGTATAATATTTTCTTCATGCAATAATGACCACATAATTACAAGAGTCAGTTATGTAATTATATTTGTACTTGAGCTTAGATTTCATGTAAGTGTATGCAGTAATTCAATTTCTTCTGCATGATTATGCAGTGTCATGAAAATTTAAATAAATATGGAACAAAGCAAAATGTGAATAATGTAAGTTATTAGAAAGAGAACTTGTTCAGTCCAAAGTTGCTTAATCATCATATGCTCAGTTTATTACTACACTTTTCCCTTTTATTACTCCCAAGAAATTAGAACAAACTTTATGGGCTCTCAAACCTGTGATTTAGATTATTATGTAAACTATGCTACATATTCATGTTCTGTAGACTTTCATTATTAAACAACTGATTCTTGGACTTAATAAGAATAATTTCTCAGAAACATCTTCATGAGCTCTGCTGTTGAGGATACAATCATGTTCATCAGCATATGCTAAGAAGGTGTGGAGTAAAGAGAGATGATGAGGGAGTCACACTTTTATTAGACAAGTGTAAGAACCTGTGGGGTATTTATTCCCATATAAACCACCAAAGTTAAAAAAAAAAAAAGGAAAAATAGAAATAGCTAAATTCTGTAGACAGCATAGGCAAATATATCTCTGTTTCAAATTATTTTCGTTTGGAAGCAGGTTCAGAGATCGCCTTCTGAAGAGGAATGTTATGTTGGAGGCTCCATGATTGAAGTAAATTAAGAGGTGAGTAGGGTTCAAAGCATGCTAAAAAAGTTAACAGGATTTTAGGAGATCATGCTTTTGGACATGACAACTAAAGTTTGAAGAAGTCCAGTGAGTGTGGTTCAGGTGTATAAGTTGAGGTACATCTGAATGTTGAGGAAATACTTTTTCTTATTCCCATTGTTCTTGTTCAACAAGGACATAGTTGAAAGCACATTACAATTTTAAATAAAACCCCAAACAAAACAAAAAACCTTTAAAAAACAAAAGTAAAAGAAACAAAGTGTGAGGATTCTATGAAAAGATCAGAAAAATAATGCAAAAATCTTTTGTCCCTGAAACGCATTATCTAGAAACTGATATAAGTGAAGGATTTCAACATGTTTCACTCTTCTACCAAATCTCTACAGATTCCTTAGGAGATATTCTGCAACTATAACAGAAACATTACTGGAAAAAAAATCTGAAGAGTAATGATTCTCCTTTATATTATTTTTTCTCAGCCAGGATTTTGGAAAATATTTCTTTGACTTTGCCATAATTTAGCTCACTGCATAGACTGATCACATTCAAGGGTAGATTCAAGGCACTGAGCTGACTAGACTTTCATAAATGTTCTTCTGTCTGTGTTTAACTCTTATTTAGAGGGAATTTTCATTTCTTGTTATGATGGATTTTTTAAAATGGTAGTTAATAGCTATAAAAAAATAGAATTCCTTCCATAAGAAGAATCGTGAAGTGGATCAAGTTTAGGTCATTACATTAGAAAATGCTGAAAGTACTTTATGCTATTTTACTTAAGTGTTTATCATCACTTTAATATTTAGAATGTATGATCTAATACTTTTTTGTCATATGGTAATTTTTGTGTTTGACTTTGTAATTTGGATGAATATTCTTTGAAGATTCTGATTTGTGTATTATTTCCCATATTTTAGGAAAAGCTGCCTGACAATAAGTAGTTCCACGGTCTGACATCAAAATATCTTCCATCAAAACCATGTCATTTTCATCCACCCTTGCTACTGTCCAAACTAATCTGTTACCTGACTATTGGGCCACTGCTGAAGACACAAGAGATTCTAATTATGGGAAAAGTGTTTGGTTTATGCAGCTTAAACAAAATTAGAAGTGAAGTATTTTATTGATTTCTTAAAGATACATAATTAACCCACAGACAGTGGATGAGGATCAACATCAACTTACCAACATGGTCCTAGGGACTTGCAAAGGATTAATAAATACTTACAAATTTGCTGTTTGCTTCTGTAATTATTCTCAAAAAATTCTAATCTCAGCCACATGCAGAATGATGGTAAATCACTTCTCCTTCACAGGCAAGGTTTAGTTTCTCACTTCTGGGACTGTGGTTTTGCTACTTGCAGATGCCTCCTGTGGGAGACATCAATAGTCTCATTTGTGTCAACATGTGCAACCTAAGCACCACATCTACATGTTTTTTGAACATCTCTGCTCCTCTCTGTGTGTGTGGGTGAATTAATAATGATATGAGTTTTGTAATCATGAATCTGAAATTAAGTCACTGTTATAGCAAATATTATTGAATCACATTATAAATAGTAAATTATTAAATGATTGAGTGCTACTGAACCCTTTTGAACCCTCAACATTTTTGTATCTGTATTCTCTTACCCTTGCCCTTTGGCATCTCTGGTGTCTGTGTAAATCATTCTAAATTGATTCTAATCTGATTTTCCTAAATAATTAATCCAAGTAGTAATTAATAGAGTGAACCTCAGCATCTAGTTCTGTCACAAAGTTACACTTTTGCAAATTCATACTAAAACCTAATTGTTTTGTCAATACCTGTGATGATGATTCTTTAGGTAGCCTAACCCTTCCATCATGAATACCCATGGTGGACACTGCAGCACCTCTCAACCCACTCCTTTCATTCCTGGGTCCTTTCCTGACCACACCCAGCTTTAAGATTTAGACTTGGTGCAATCTTTGAGTTAGGCTGAGCCAGTTGCTAAAATATCATGAAGGATTGCCTTATGAAGTGTTTCTTTTTTTTATTTTCTTTCCATTTTTGAGGTCCTTAGCTGTGAGCACAGCAATGTCTTTTTTGTTTATTTTTTTATTTGTGCCAGAATATACAAATCATTTTAGGAAGCACCTTCTGCAACTTTAGTGACTGCACAGTTTGGGAGCACTAACTCACGTGAAGTATCTGGCTTCTGGTTAATTGGGATCAATTAACCCAAGCTGAACACCGAGGTTCAGAACTTGCTGGTTTTCCTTTTGGGAAATGTTTTTCTGCTGTCACCTCACAGAACAGTAGAGAACGCTGGACTCTCTGTTTTTACCATGGTGAACTACGAAATCTTTCATGGGGTCAGTATGGACACAGAAGTCCAATATTTAAGCTGTTAAGGTCCAGGAAGACATTAATAATGGTGATCTGTTTAGCATTGCAAATTTGATTAATGATGATGGTGTTTTAACAAGGTTAGCAAAAGATGCAAAGGCCAGCTCCTGGCAGGGTCTCAAGTTTCTCCTTGGACTGCAACAGTGCATAAAAAAAGACAGCACTTTCACAATAGGAGAACAATTTTTTGTATACTTAGCCTTAAAGCAGCAAACCATTTTGGCTACACTTGAAGGCATTTCACAGCCTTATTTGCAGGCACTGTAATCCGCCACCTATAATCACATTTATAGTGTCTTCACTCTGTCCATCTTTTTTTGTTGTATTAACATCTTCAATTGGCAAACCAGGCAATTTTCTATCGTAGCAGTGAGCTCTTCTATGGGGAATGATGAGCATTGGCTCCACGACTGCAGAAGGCTGATTAATCACTTTATTGTTACTACATTATACTACACTATTAAAAAAACCCCATCGCCCTTGCCAGACAGTCACGACACACATGGATCCAATTGGTCAATGGATCCAAACACCATCCAGTGTCCAATTAAGAAACCACCCTTTGGTAAACAATCTCCATAACGCATTCCACATATGCACAACAACAGGTGCAGCAAGTGGAGATAAGAATTGTTTCTCATTCTTTTCTCTGAGCTTTCTCACAGCTTCCCAGGAAAATCCTGGGAGAGAATTATGTCTCTCTCTGTTCAGAGGATATGTGATTACTACAATTTTCTACCTTCAGCTGTATGAGCTGAGGAAGAAACACTGTAAGTGAACAATTTAAGACCCTCCATCAATAATTGGAAGTGTTAACATCAATTAAAGGTCAATATTTTTGCCCTATAAAATCACCTGCAAAACAGCCAAAATAAAATGACTGAGCACTCTGTCATTTCAAAGGGTTGTTGAAAATAATGCATTATAAAGGACTCCCTGCTTCAGAAAGCACAATCTCATGCTTTATGAAAAAGATTCATCAGAGAATTTCTATTCTAAGTTACTCTGAAAATGCTCTTCTTTCTTTGTAGTGGTGGTGATGCCTCAGGTTTTAGCTTTTATATTTTTCAGATTCTGTGCTGCTGTGTATCCTTTTTCTGTGTGTAATTCTGAGCTTCACATTAGGGGATAGTAAGCTCTCTTCACAGAGTAGGTAGGCAAAAAAATTCCTTCGCTAGCTGGGGACCGAGCACAAATGATCCAAACCTCAGCCTCAAGAGCCTAAACAACAGTGGACTGAAGAGAGAAAAACAAGGATGGGACTTCATAACCTAAAGATATAATTGGACAATTAACTCCAGTATGCAAATGGAGTAGAATGTATAAAATTGTGAGACCCTGTGAACAGTTGTCCATTTTGTGACCATTTTGGGTTCATCTTGGGTGTAGCCCTGGCTGGGCTCTTGTGCTGTCCAAGGTGTATCCATTGAGGTCATTTAATAAATACCTACTTTATTCTTTAACTCTGTCTAGCCCCTGTTCTAGGTCAGCCTTCACAAGGCATCAGTTTCAAAAATGTAACAGTATTTCTTTTAATTAAACTTAAGATTCAAATGCTACATAAGAGAATTTTTTTTATTTTTATTTGAGTAATTGAAATTATTTGAATAAGAATTTTAAGGAGCCTGACTTTTACTTTAGGCTCATGTTGCTAAGAATATTGATTCTCCATGTGCTCATTTACTCCCATTTTACAACTCATTTATTCACAATCACCTTATATAAGGAAGTATAAAGCATAAATGTTCAAACATCAGTGATTGCAATACTGACATTTTGCATATGTCTGGGAAAATGAATTTCTTTTATCCCTGTGTAGAATATTTTGAAACAAACACATTCCTGACCAGACTTTCTGTTTCAAATATTCATATTTAAATTCCATTTGGGATCACAGTCTTGTAATCTGTTGGAGATTATATATAAAATTTATATATTGGGGCAATACTGTACTGAAAACAAAATTTTTAAGGAAATAATACCGCAAGAATGAAAATTATTTGCAATTTTGGCCTGCTTGTTAAAAACATCAGCCAGCAATGAATCAGGAGTAGTTGAAGCTTGTGAATGTAAATGGATACTTCTGTTGCATAATTGGTATTTGGTTGGGTTTTTTTTCAAAGGTGGGAAAATGGCTGATAAAAAGGACACGAAGCATGGTGTGAAAACTTAGCATTATTCCCTGATTGCATTCACAAGAACCATCTGAAGAGAGGAACATTGTTGCAGTGCTTTTTCTCTGGGTTTAAAATTCCTAAATCAATTGCGTTTCTTTGCTAGTATGCTTAGATCTACTTCATTGTTGCAAGGAATAACAATTAAAATATAGAACAACCGATTACTTCTCATACATAAATACAAAGTTCAAATCTTGAAAATCACAGGTAAAAGTATACATACCATTACTGTGCCTTTTTAAATTCTCTTAAGATTAGGTTTTACTGGCTCAATGCTGTCTTTAGACACAAGATAGACAAGTTGATCATATTATTTTCCAAGATTTTTTCAGATATCATGTAATAGTTATTTGTGGACTACTTTTTTCTTTAAATCATATCAATATTTCCTACCTCAAAAAAATACAAACTAAACAAAAAAACCCAAACATTTTTATTTCTCACAGTAGGTACATGAAATCAGTGTTTAGACGGAGAATTCAATTCTGAATGGGACAACACTTCAAGACACACAGGACAAATCCTTGCTGCTTTCTTCGAGTCAGAGCACAAAATGGCATCAGTACAATGCTATTCCCATTCCAAGTGTACACATCACCCAGGGATACCACGATTACCAGCTGCTGCAGTGGCATACTACTGTATAAGTTTCTTGAGTCACAAGTGCATTTGTTACTATGTGACCAATGAGTTTAGGTGGGTCCTCTGCCCCTTTCCTTCCCTACATCCACTAATCTTAGAGTAGAACAGAAGTAAACAAAACAGGTAGGCAGACAGAGATGTATTCAGCATTAAAACTGAAGTGACATTAACTCAGTGATTTTCACTTCAGATGAATTCAGGTTTCAGCTGTCTTCTGAATTCAGTTGAGTACAAGGACCTTTTTCCTGCAATTACTCTTATATGAGAAGTCAAAAAGTTTCAAGTTCCATCTCTAGATTAAGAGAAAATATTTAGTTACACACCATGTGTATTTTTTGCATGAGACACAGAAATGAAAATAGACATCAGCAAAAGGATAAGTAAATTAGATATCCTGCAGGTGTTGGGTTTTCTTTGGGTTTTTTTTTCCACTCCTGTACATAGCCACAAAATCTATTTTAATTTTATAACTCAATCTTTATTTTAAAGGTTCTATGTAAGGAAAAGAAAAATCACCAAGCCTGTAGGTAGATGCACAAAATTCCAGGAATGGAAATTATTCTTCTTAAGAGATAAGAATAAGAATTTCTTTTAATAAATGCCACAGCTGACTATCAGTTATGCTTGAGATACAGACAGGAAAAAAAAATCCAGAGGAAAACATCCCGTCTTTACAAGACCCTCCTTAACGTACATGTAACAAGAGACTCTGGAATAAACAAGCTGCAGGTGATAAAAACATATTTTGGCTCTCCAGCATCTTGCTGTTACGGTGATTACTAAACACTCACCATCATCCTACATCTATTGAGCCCTTATCCAGTCCTCTAAAAAACCTTTAAAATCTGAGCATGGCAGACAATTGATTTTAAGGTGCTGTGTTAAGATTTTAAATCAGACAACTGTCACATGCATGTAGAATTGCTTAGAGTTTTACTGTTAAGTAGCTCACCAAAGTGCTGAAAAAGATAAATAAAGACAACTATGATAACTTAATGTATTGCTTAGTGATTTTAGCTCGCACATTTTTCTGGGTTTGGCAATGCTCAAAAAAAAAGTACTATATGAGTGAATACGACAAGGAATGTAGTAACAGAAAAGTAGATTACTACTAAGAGAAGAATATGTGT